AAACTGATTTTTTACTTTGATTAATTCAGCCTGCATCTCACTTCAACCATAAGCCACCCCAAACAAGGCAGAATGATGCAAAGGCAGGAAAGGGAGGTGATTTTCTGGGGAAAAAAAACCAGTCAGATTGGACAGCAAAGAATGGAGATGGACAAAATCATCAGTCACTTTGGGAAGCCTTAAYCTTTCATTTCAGTGCATGATGTGAAGGGAATAATTTGTTCTTTATCATTTCCCTTCAGTCATCCAGTCAGACAGGGAGCTGGCAAGTGCTGATGCACGGGCATGTGGATTTCACAGCTGCTTCCAGGGCAAAACACACAYTAATACCTGAGTGAATCCTGGAAATGCACAACAAAGTTGGTTGGTTGATACACAGGAATTTTGGGTGATACCCTAAGGTTGCCCATAAGGTAGGAAGTTTTACCTCCAGGAAACTTGTAAGTACTTGCTTTCTTCATGGAGGACACAGCCACAGGGAAATTCAGCTTATGTCATCCCATCTCGTTACCTTTACAATTGGGTAATTGTCCTTTGCCAGAAAGATTTTACCTGTGCAGTCTCCTTTGTCTTGACTGTAAAATGATGCACTCTCCTGCCCTGATTTCCCTTTTGGAAAGGAAAGTTTGTCTTTCTTAAGTGAGCTCAAAATGCTATCCAGAGTCAGACTGTGTTTGCAAGTGAGACTGGAACATAACTCAGCTTTTATATTAATGCCCTCAGGGTCTGAAACAACACTTGTTTTAAAATGCAGGGAGGCCAATCAGTGTGATAGTTAAGAACCATAGAATGGATTTGTTTTGCAATGACCCCCATGTTGGTAAGCAGAGCTTCAGACAGGAGCGTGAGGTGCCTGCAGGCAGTGGGAGCCCACTGGAGCTGCCCATGGGCAAGAAGGGACAGRAGCTGGCACGGGCATGAGCAGCAACAGAGTTGACAGATGTTTTTCATTCTACTGCACAGCTCAAAGGGAAAAAAAATAGCAGTAACCCTAACAGCCAGTCTAACTATGTCTGTGTGGAAATGGGTTAAAGGCTGTCCAGAGAAATGCAGAAGGAGGAGCTGTAAGGGAGGTGTATGTACATTGTAGTTAAACCCAGCACACTTTCGGCTGGCAGGGCCTCTGGGCACTTGGAATTGCTTTCTTGCCCTGGTCTCTGCCCAAGCAAGTGGATGTGAGGTGTCCTTGGGCTCTCTGGTGGGTCCCTGAAGGGTCCTGGCCCCAGTGTGCAGCCTGCACTCACTGCAGGGCACCCAGCCAGAGGAGCAGCACTGGGTGGTGCCTCAGGGGTGGTGAACTGAGAAAAATTAACCTGAGTGTAAGTATGGCTCAGCATAGCTGAACAACTCTTGAAGCATAATTTCACCCCTCAGTTTCTCTCTTAACCTCAGTCTTTCCCACCGAGAGCCCTGTCCCATGGGCTGGGGTCTAACAGCATAAACAACAGCCAGGCTGGGGATAGAGAGACCCCCAGGTTCAGACCCTTTCCATCTCAGCAGGTATAACCATAGCAGGACACAGGGCAGATGGCAGTAAGCAAGCTGTGCAAAGCCTTTCCCAAAAAATGACTCTTTGCCRAAGTAAATTACCATCAGTTGTCATTTAAATGAGAATAAGCTTCACTGATTACTTTTTGCATAATCATTCAGAATGAAACCAGATGTTCCTCAGACCATGTTTTAAAGCTGCAATGCACATTTAAAGGTAGGCAAGAAAATTCTCACAAGAAAAAGCATATTGAGTCTTTTTAGTGAATTGGTTTATCTGAAAAAGCTTATCTTTTATTGGTGATGAAAATATATTCCTGAATCAGCAGCCATTTCCCAAGCTGTTGGACAAAGCTATAGGGAAATTGCCATCCCAGAAATGTTAATATTGCCCCATCATGAGTCAAGCTTTCATTGTTGTTTTTAAAAAGGAACAGTAACTTCCCCTCAGGAAGACTGCGCTGAATCACGGTTGGGTTTGGACAAGTGTTTTCACAGAATGATTTTCTGGGTTTAATTGTTTTAATTTTACTTACTTGGTACCTTTACATTTCTTGACATGGCACATTTTCAGTCTACAGCCAGGAATCCGAGTTTCAGTGATATATGRGGCTTCAGAAGGAAGCAAGTCACTCTATCTAAATCATCAGAGAAATTCTTTTTGGTTATCCAGTCTGTTTGAAATTGTCAGGACATCTCCGTTTCCTCCTAGCTTATAAGACCTAAAGTATCCCCATGTATGTTGCTTCCTGCTGGAAGAATATTTATAGCATTTCTGACCTTTGAGTGAACTTTTAAGAATCAATAACAGCAAAGTGCAAAGAAGGTCAGCAGCAGTTTTGTTCTTAACTGAGTGTAGCCAGTGTTCAGCTTGGAATATCTAAAATATATTCGGATCTATCGTAATCACACTTCTGCAACATTTTGGCAGGAAATTTGCAGATTTCTTCAGCRTTGTCGTGTAGCTACCATCTGAAGRATAYAAGGCCAGAGCCAATGGTGCCATTGATGGGTTTTTAAGTTGTGTATTAATTTTTACATGGCAGGACTATTGCAAAAGGCTTTAAGAGTCAAAGCTGAAGAATTATTTTCTTAGCTATATTTTGCCACTGGGCAAATTGAGAAAATTAGAAACTGATCTTGTTGAGGACTTATCGCAGCTGAAACACCATCCATTTCCTTCCACTTCAGATTACAGCAATAAAACTGACACAGTCACCCCTCAATATGTGAGCACAAGCAGCCACATGAGATAGTTCAAGGCAAGGYTTGTCCATTCAGAGTTGTTATCCCTATCACCCTACAACTCCAATATTTTAAAGGACCTTTCCTAATTCCTCATATTTCTGAASCTCCTTCCAAAATCAAAATGTTCCCATAATGAATTAAACATCTCAGTGCTGTTTGCTGCCTTCTTCTGCAGGGGAAATTAATTTCCCTTTATTTCATTGCCTAAAAGCACAAATTTTAACATAATTAAATCCTTTCCTTCTCCAGAGCTGGCATGTCTAGAAAATGCTTCTTGCACTCTTTTGTCTAGCACAGGYAGGCAACTAGTTCAGATTGTAACTGTGAATTAGAAGCCTAAATTCCRGATGCCTTAAGTGAGATGAATCCCATTGCTAGGGTTGACAGAAATAGCTCTCACAGAGTCAGAGGTCTTCTGCCTTGTAATTAGAGTGAATTGTCAGGACTTCCCCGCATGCCATTCCATAGAGGTAGCAAGAAGGCTTTTGCTCTTTGCTTTAGCCTCCTGAAGCTGATAAAATACATAGGGCTCCTGTTCGCAAATTCAGCATTGTCATTATGAAAATATTTCTCATAAAAGCTCCATTTTCCTCCATTATTTTCCTGATTGACTGAATGGAGCTATACAAATAGATACAAACTGGATAGCTATACAAATCTTCACAAATTTCTGAAAGCTTTATAGCATGTCAAATTAGTTGGTTTCATAAGTTTCTTTTTCTATGTCCATGTCATTTGAAGGTTGTGTCTACTTGTTCATTCAACCATCCAAATATGTCTAAAAATACAAGGAAAATAAAATAAATTTACTGTTTTGACAACTTCTGTTTGCTCAAAAGTTGTTTACTCAAAGGTTATAATAGTCAGGAAATTAAGTTGTTTTCTAAATGCTATCATATTTTTTATTATTATTATTATTGTTAACATTCCTGAAGAAGAACAAAGGAAAATATTTCCACTCAAGTTGTACATGAATTGTTAATGTCAACTTTGAATTTCCTTGTTTTTTCCTAGTTTATAAAACACTCTTAATATAGAATTGTTTTGTCTGTTTCTTCAAATTTGTARATGCATAATATTAAAAAATTATTTCATGCCTCTCTCCACGTACCCATTTCCCTTTTGGCTTTTATAATCTCTTCAAAGACCAATGTGTTGTGCCATGTACATCTTCAGTGCTCCTAAACATAAAGCTCTCTTAGCACTTCACCATCCTCTAAAATTTGCATTTCAGATTTCAGCAGTCTCTAACCAAGTAAAAGTTGCTCTTTTCCTCTTACTCCTAACAYATTTTAAGTATTTTGAAAAAATCTATGAAGCAGGAGAAAAACTGATGCCACACCTAACTCATATATAAGTACTGGGTTGGTTTCTAACTCTTCTGTCTCTAGCATTAAATTAAGAAAAGTTTGAGACTAAGTAACAAAATCAACCTTTGTTTCACTTGCTCAATAGTCAAAATACATTAATATTAATATTTCTGATGAAACTGTAGTTTATCGGTTCACTGAGACTACTATTTTGGCTCCAGCAAGGAGCTAWAAGGAGTTCATCTGGCAATAGCACATGGATCTGAAAAAGCAACAAGGTTACACAGATGCTGGGACAGATCCATGCTTTGGAAGCAGCCAGAGACAAAGCCTATGGCACAGCTGGGTGATGACCAGGGAGCTTCTAATTTTCTAAGAATTTTTKAATTCACTGACACTGCCAGAGTGACCAGCAACATTGTCCACTCATCATTTCTTCAGAACTGGAGGATAACTGGAACTGCTCATTGTTTGTGCTGATCTGAGGGCTTTGTAAATGCCCTCAAGAGCTACTTCAGTCTGTTTTGTTGGGTTTATGTCAGTGTTTAAAAACTGTAGGTCACTTTTCTGCATGGCAAAGTAMATGATGTCTCTTAAAGTCTGTTTTATCTCATGGTTTCGCCTCACATCTGCAGCAGCTCCATCAGTCTGCTCTGTGTGGCCTTCTGCCTTCCCTGCTGCAGTGTTTGGGTGGCAAAGCCCATGACTTTAATTCCTTCTACAGCCAGTGCAGACGAAGCTCAGCTGCTCCTTTCTCACAAATGTCTGCCTACCCCAGCTACCAAACACCTTGAGTGAACCCACAGTCAGTATTGGAACCTGAGCCAGACACTGGGGCTGGTTTAAAGTCAGAATAGACCAGCTGTGCACAGGCAGCTTCTCACACATCACAAGGACAGGACGATGGGCTGGCCTCACTAACAGCATTYCTGCAATTTTGCTTGGTGATTGCAGAGAATGACGAGGAGCAGGAGGCTCTGCTCTCCCTGGACAAGCCTGGTTGGTATTCCCAAGGCAATGCTATCCAGCTTTATGATCTWCTGAAGAAGATGACTGGCAAGGTGGACCCCAAGGTATGTTACAAGTGAGAGCAAATCTTTCTGAAAATACCCTGTTTCAGTCAAGAATTCACAGACAAACTTTCCTTGAAGTTATTGATGTGTGTGGTCACAAACTTCTTTTGTGGCTATGCTTGCTGCTGTCTTACAACCTGCAGCCCAGAACTGGAAATAGTAAGTTTGTCTTCTTATCAGTAGAATAGGTAAACTTTCTAGATGTTCTGTTCTGTGTGCAGCTTTGGGGTGAATCAGTTTGTAATCAGGAAATCTTCCTGAGGAAATTGATCAAATAGATTTAAAGATGGCATCGSTGAAAACTAGGATTGTGTTATTTTAAGTACAGATCTGAGAAAGTGAAAATGCCACTGAAGCGGTGGAATAGTCGGTCACTATTTTTCATAGTGAATAAGCTCCTCCCTGGACACAGAAGTGTTCTGAGTCACTGAGAAGTGCTTCATGTTCTCTCTTGTTTCCAGTGTGGTCTAAAACTTGTTCCAGTTTAGTGTRTTTTCTTGGTAGTCTTTCCGCTGCTTCCTGTCAGGTTATTTCTGTCAGTCAAAAAACTCACACTTCCTTTTGCTGGTCCCAGTCAGGCATCCCTGTCCAATGCCCATGGAGGGCAAAAGCAAGGAGGGCGTGTGGGGCCAGCCTGTCCCTTGTGGAGCTGGTTAAAGATAAAGCCCCAAACTTGACATTAATAAGATCTCTGCATGTCATGACCAAGTGTAAACATGGAGGAATTTTTATTAGGTTGTTTTAAGGCTCTTTCTCGTGTAAAACAGTTTGCTTGTGTTTTCCTCATGTACAATGGACTTCTAATTTGCTTCCTCCCCTGTAGGTTGTTTATTTTGGTGACAGTATGCACTCAGATATATTCCCAGCCCGTCATTATAGTAACTGGGAAACCGTCTTCATCTTAGAGGAGCTTCTGGGGGACAGAGCTACAGTGCTTGCGAAGGCTGAATCTGAGCCCTTGGAGAAGAAAGGAAAATATGAGGTAAGGGTTCCTTGCAGATGATTCCTGGAACAGAATAAATTACAAAAAAGCCTCGTGTCACATGCATTAAGAATGAACCTGCTTATCCTACCAGCGTGCTGGCAGCATCTGCATCCTCCACAGAGGTGTCCTCCTTATCCTACCAGGGGGATGGYKTTCTGTCCCAGCTCAGCAATGCATRGGTGACACAGCATCTCTGCCTGGAGCTCAGCCATGGATCTCAGAAAAAGAGCTCTATGTGCTCTCCCTTAGCAAAAACCTTTTTAGTAGCAAKATCCTGCCCTCATCCCACAAGGAGAGATTTCATGCCCACTTATCACAAGTCCAATGCCTGAACTCTGCTCAGTTCATGATGTTTCCCTGTGTGTTGTGGCCAACTGTAAACATAGAGGGATTTTTATTGCATTGTTTTAAAGGYTGCTTTCTCTCTTGTGAAAGAGTTTGCTTGTGCATTCCTTATATACAAAGAACTTTTAATCTGCTGCTTTCCTCATAGGTTATTTATTTTGGTGACAGCTGTACTCAGATAAGAGGGACKGCTTCAAACTCTGGCCCAGTGCAGACTTAGTGATGGTTACCTCAGATAAATAATGTGATTTTAAGGTTAATCACAGTTGAAATGCAGGTCCTTAGCACCACTGCCACCCTTTAACTCTTCCACAGAATGTGGAAAGTTACTACGGTTTCTCCTTCCCTCTGCTGCCAAAGAGCAAAGTAGGTAGGGAACAGCCCTGAGATGGATGATGAGGCAGTGTTGTACCTCCAGCAGGTCCCATGTAGGTAAGAATTACTGCGAAGTTTCACTCTCCTTTTGGAGTGTTTCTTCATTTCGTGTGCTACTAAATACATGGGTCGTTTTCTTCTAATTGCAGAGATACATATGCTCTTTATATTTAGCTTTGTAAAGCAGTAAACTTTATTTTTCTTTTAAAATAATTACTCTTTGTGATTAAAACTTAACTTACCAATAGAAAAGATTTTAGGGTTGCTTTTATACTAGGTATGTTTTTTAATTTAAGTGTTGTAAAAGCTCCTGGTTTTAATGAAGAAAAGGCTATTTTCAATGGGATGAAAAAAATATAGATGTGATATCTATATATTTATTTTTAACAGATATATCTCATATATTTTTCCACTATCCTATTCTAAACTAAGGTCAAACAAGGACATCTCAGTCACTGAAATAAGGAATTGTAATTATTAATGTTTAGGCTTCCTCCTCGGTTGTAGAAAAACAAAAATTAAGACAAAAAAATCAATCTCCTATCAAGAGAACATGTTTCTCAGTAAGAACAGGAGGCAGGGGARGAAGAGCTAGTAGCACTTCATAAGTAAATGCAATTTGATTTAARTAATTAATGTTTTAAAAATAACTGATTTTCCTCCATAAGTTTTTTCATTCTCTGATTGGAGATTATGTTGCATTGCTGCATAAGACTTGCATCTCTACAAGGTTTGGGGGATTTGTTCAACATGATTTCCTAAGCATGGTGAATATATTCTTTTGAAGCACGCACTTTTAAACTGAGAGGCAGAAAGTGGTTCTTTTTCTGGAAGTACAAAGAAAGAGTAAGGGAGCGATGTGTTTCCAAGCCCACAATGACGATTTGGCCTTCCCTTATTGCARCGGTGCTGCTCGACTGCTCACAAGATCCATCTTCTCTATCACAGCAGCTGTCAAGCAGCAAATTGAGACTTTTAGACAGGTGCTTGGCATTTCAGTGACACTGTAGCATTCTTGATAAGAGATTGCAGTATCTTGGGGAGACACCACCCCTACCACACACAGCCCCTGTTCCRTTTACATCCGCTACCAGTGACAGCGAGCAAGCAAGGGAGAAATGAATCGCGTTGATTAAAGGAACCTGAGCCAGGGGGGCCGTGGCAGGTCAGTGGTGTTATTTCATTACCATGCTGCTCACTGGAGTCTGAACAACAGGTCACATCCATATCTCTGCAGTTGACTGGACACCACTAACTTAACAGGACTAGTTCAAAGGGACTCCATTCGCAAGCCTATGAGAGTTTTATTTTCATTCCTCCAAGCAACTTCTCCCATTAACCCTTTGGTTAAGWGGGGAGAAAAGCCAATTCAACYGACTGTACAAAGTCAGGTGTTTTTKGARAATTAGTCACAAACAGATTATTTTTTCATCTGGTTAATCAGCCTTAGCATTCATTGGCAATAAAAATAAGCTACTACTGTAGATTTTCTGTGCCATGCTGTGTGTGCAGAGAGGTTCCAAAGACTTCATACACTATGCAATCCTCAATTCTGTCATTCTTTACAAAATATTGTTAGAGAAAAAAGTAATACTTTAATTGGCAATTGCATGTTTCAGAAAGAAAAGACAAAAATCTGTTTTTAGTTGTTTGACTGGTGTTTCATCACTAACAGAGAGAGGGCAAGAAAACAACCTCTTCACAACACAAACTGGGAGACTTGTAATTTCCATTTTCATTTGCAGTTTTTGTCTTTTCCCTTCAATTAAATACATTACATAAGCCAGATACACATAACTGTGAAATTATGGCAACAACTGCAGTTCTTTCAAGTGCATGAGTCATAACCAAATAAGCAAGAGAATAGCAAACTAAAAACTATTTGTGCAGTTACTTGGCTTCTAAGTAAATTGCAGCATGCAGGGTGAATAAAAGTATGAAGCACTGTGTTGAAACAAGATTCCCCCCCACCTCCCAGAACTGGAGATTTGTTTCCTTGGCTGGAGGCTTTGGTTTTGCATTCTGTTCTTTAAATGTGTGTGATCAGTTCCATCAATGAAAACTCAAAGGAAAGCTGGAATTTGTCCCAGGATTTCGAGGGAAATTATTACAGAGGAGCTGTCAGTGTGTAAAAACCCTGGGCTAGATGAATGAATGGAGCAGAAATCAAAGAATTTATTGGTGGATATAGTCAATAATTTTGTAGTTAGAAGGGAGAACTTAATTGTTGCAATGATGRTTGGTTGTAGAGGTCAGGGCTGTTACCCCCCAGAATTTCCATTTACTCCCTTGGTGTGATCGTAGACAAGGCTATTTACTCCGTGCCTTTTGGCTCTGTTTGTCTCTATTCCTGTTTATCTTTGACACAAATCTAACAGARCCTGGTGAGTTGAAGCAATATTCTGAGGGCAATATCCTGAGGTGCTACATTTTATTTTAAGTCCCCTTATTAAGTGATCCCTGTTATAGCTTAGGTATAATAATAATGGGTGAAATGTTTTATATTTGCATGATKTGTAGGAGGGCAGGCTCTGTGCAACAAAAGTCAGATCAGTAGCTGGCTTGTCCAWTTGCACACCCAGGATGGGTTTGTTATTCAGGGACATCCCATTGTTGTGGCCAGAACAGCTGTGCTGACAGAAACATCTCAAATACCTACTGTTACACCAGCAAAATTGTATTTTGAGCATTTTTTCTGGCATCAAGAGTCAGTGATAATGTTACTGCTTCAGCATAAATCATACAATCACTCATACTGGATGCAATGAAGTATTCCTCATGCTCTGTGCTTGGTACAAAGATGGCAAATCTGCATCTAAATAAAGCCCTTRAAAATACTAACAGCTTAATCTTTCACTCCTGTCCCCTTTACATCTTTCTTTTTTTCATCTTTTTATCAAATGCAGAAAAACTTCAGAGCTCAGCTCCCGCTAATTTGTATTTTAGAAGGGTCATTGGTAAGCTGACAAATCAGTGTTAGCCAAGGGTCCCATTAACAGATCCTGTCTGTTCTGTTAACAGGCCCTGTTGTTCTGCAGGGAGCAAAGCAAAGTGATAGCAAATATTCCAGGTGTTTAGACTTTGTGGAAGGCCCTGGAACATGAGGATTCCTGGTACCATCCCTATTTCCCTGAAGTGTAGATGTTTKCTTTGAGGCTTTGTACCCTCAACTCACACAATCAACATCTGACCTGCTGCTGTCTGACCAATATGCCTGAGAGCAAACCCATRTGCTTGGGGGATTTGCATGAGAAAGAAGGATTGCTCAGCACTTTCCAGGATCCACTGTCCTGCTGTGAGAGCAAATTCTGTGTCTGGGGACTGCAGGAGGAGCGGATGCATCTTCCAGATCTCCTCAACCCCACTGCTGAGCATGTGCCTCCAGGCATGTGAGGAGCCACAGTAAGAGGAGATTTTGCTCATTTCACAGAGGGGCAGGTTCATGGTACATGATCTGTCCTTCATTTCAGGCTGCAGGTGAGATAAGGATGTGGTCAGAGTTTTGACTGCTCTTTCCAGATTTGAAGTCAAGATTTAGCCTGCCAGACTTGCCCCATCATGTGGAGATAAGCCAGCAGCAAAATGATGGGAGCTCTCTTGACTTGATGACAAGTCTCTTATCTAACTGGGTTTGATCTTATCAGGGGCTTGGGTTGGGGTTGTAAATCCAAAATGTAACTCCCTCCTCCTTAATAAGGAAAAAATTCCTACTCTAGGATCAAACTTCCAGAAAAATCAGTTCATTTCCTCAAGTTGCATTTTTTTTTTCTGCTGAACTAACCATCCATTTCAGAAAGCAGAACCCTCATATTTTCCCTCTTGTCAGTAAACAAGGTCCTGTCTTTTGTGCTTATAAGGACCAGTATTGGGGTTGTTTTGATTAAAATCACCTGAACAGCTGTAACAGCTTTAAGAATTTTCTCCATGTGTCGTCCAGCTGGCCAACAGATTTTAATTCATCAGAGCATCTACATTTAATTATAACTGATGTGAAGTCCTGGAATTTGCATGGAAAGATAAGATGTGGTGGGAGAAAAAAAAAAGAAAGCAAGATGCTATCTCTGTGTATCTCTTTTTGTTTGCACAAAAAACCCACCAAAAAAAAAAAACAAACCCAGGACTTCAGTTAAATGCTTATTTTGAAACAAAAGATGGAAGGTTTCTTCCAACTTATTTACAACAGAACACAGAAATTATTATCTACATTTGTTAAAATCASTACTTCCTCCACCCAGCTATACTCAGAGGAAAAACTGTAAGGCAGACTCATGGAAAGAGTGGCTCTGTGTTTACTGGTGTGGTCTGTTCAGCTGCATCAACAGCTTCCTTGTGATCCAAAGATACAGGCCTCTGTCATAAACACAAATTATTCCTGCAAGTTCTCAAAACTGCTAAGAGAGGGGTTAAATAGAGAATAAAATACAAAAGTTCACAAACCTGGAGGCACACACTATGGTATCTGTGCTCTGCAGGTCTGAGAAGTTRCTTTGCACACAAATGACTTTAACAGATTTTCTGTAGTTTACATGACACTAAAGTGTAGTTTTGCTTCCCATTTTTTCATCTTTCTGTAGATGTGTCCTGGCATTTTTTTCAGTATATAGCAGGTTTCAAGGTGAACTGGTAAAAACTCTGTTTTTCCAATACTACTTTAATACTTTAAAACATAATTAGTCTAGATGTTGTTATCTGAAAATATACATTAAAAAAAAAAGTTTCCACAATTTGCTAGGTAATTAAATGTCTCTCCATGGATTCTGTGGCTCAGTTTTCTCTCATTCCTCAGCTCAGGAGCAGGTAACACAGGTGGCATGATGCAYTCTTTGCAGTTACTCCACTCAGCATGAGGAAGCTCCTTTTCCCCAAGGAGGAGGTCCCAGTTGTGCTGCACTCTGTGCTGCATCTGCCCAGCTTTTCCTGCCGAGAAGGGCGGCAAGCAATTCAGGCTATCAAAAACAGAAAAATGGGGACTATAAAAGGGGTTTTCTTAAAGTATTTAAAAAATGTTTAAAGTTAAYTTTTTATGTCCTACAGAATCCATAAATTGCATGAAGAGGAGTTTGGGGACTTACGGGAAGAAGATTGTTATTGTCTTTATATTTTAAAGTCACATTGCTCCTGAGATACAATATAGACTTCCCAGAAAATCAGATAGAGTTCCTTAAACTAATGCTTATGGATAAATAAATATTTTCTTTTTTAAACTTACGTATTTATTTATTTTTCTTTCAGGAAGATCAGCTCAAAGTTCCTTACTTCGTGTCTAAACAGTGGGGCTCTTTCTTCATAGACAGAGTGCCAGGCCTGGAAAATGCAGAGGAGACCTTAGYTCACACGTGGTCCTGTAAATGTATTAGCACTTACAGCACTATTGCAATCCCTAGTYTGGAAGCAATAGCAGGTAAGGAAGAAGGCTTTTTTTTCTTTTTTTTTTTCCTAATGTAGCATTCATAGCACATTTGCAGTGCTGTAGATCGGGTTTTGAGGTTTGTATCTAAAATACTTCCCAAATACTCTGTTCTTATGATGCAACACTTAGCACTAGTGGTCATTGATTACTTGAATGGTTGTGCTTTTAATTGTTGTCTGATACATGAGGGGTTTTGTTTGTGTCTGCAAACATTAGATGTTTAATGGATTCTCTGTTAGAAATAGGGAGCAATGTTTAACAGGCTGTAGATTMATTCCTGAACTTGGTCTGGACTTCCCCGCTGTGTTTTGCTGTTTCTTCTTTCAGTGGTGAGTTACATTCAAAACAAACAGCATACAAAATTGCTTGGGGGAACCTATTTAAAAATAGGTGTCTCACTGATCTGKCTTATTACACTTCCCCAATCAGCTYGYTATAACTTTGCAACTGCAGTACTTAACCAGAGGATTATAAAGTGGTGGTGAAGAGCTTCTATCTGTATGTGCTCAATCTATCGTTTTGCATTWCTGAGCTTTGTCAATACCCATACCTAAATGAATGAACAAGTTATTACATGAATGAGGAAGACACCAAGCATTTATTTTAGTAATCCCTCCATTCAGCATCTGTTGCCTGCTTCATGCGCAAGACCAAGAAATAAAACATTTGTTTTATTCAGCATTTCAGGCTTGCCCAGCAGTGACTTCCACAGCGGGATATGTGACAGACCTTTTCTTTCAACCATATTTTTCACSTGCACTTACATTGTCAGAATATCTCAAAACAGAACAATCACAGACTGCTACAATTTATTTATTATTCTGGTATTTGCCATTCTGCAGTTTATTTCARCCTAAAGGCGCAAAGCCTAAATATACCAACAGAAAATGGAAAATGCGAACAGAAAGATATCCTCTGTAAAACTCCCATCTGATAACTTTTTCCAGGGTCATACTGTGGCTTGCTTTGGAAATTCTGGCCAAGAGAAAACACATTGGTCAGCCACAGTCTGAAACTCTGCCTGCCAGCCAGCTTCCTCCCAGCTCAGTTTACAGGACTAGCAAGGTCTCTCAACCAGAAATGTACCACCAGCTTTCCAGCTACAGATGAAAGGGTGAGAACCAGCAGGGCATGTCTGGACAGTTCGTGAGAAGGATAGCTCCCTGTCATCAGCAGCAGTGGAGCTCTTGCAAAGCCTGTTTTTCCTTTAGGAGGGACAGTGTGCACTGTCCCTCACTGCATTGAACCAGTGCTGGGGCAGGAGCTCTTGTCTGTGAGAGTTAAACCTCAGTGCTAAAGGACAGGGGAGAAATAATATTTTARACTTGCAGCTGTTCTCCTGACAGCMRACTCAAAGGTGAAGGTACAAGAAYGACTGTTTTTTTACAGAGAGTGGTATTTCTACTTTGTTTGTGTGGAAGAGCAGATGTTCATTATTATGGATGATGAGGAATTCYTGACTCTTCTTGAATACCTTGTCTGACTCCTGTCACAGCAAGCTGTGAGAACCCCTGCTTTTTGCCAAGCCCTGAAGTTTTTGGCTGCAGCTGTAAGTCATAGCCTAGCTGCAGCTATGTGGGAATAACCAGCTAGAAGAGATTGAAACGGGTTGTGCGAGTTTGATGCGCTCCAGCTTTTCCTTTCCTATTCATCTGCTTTAATTACCAGCAGAGGACTTTCCACTGCCAAGCTGCCAAAACACAGGCCTTTCCTCAAGCTTCCTGGAGCCCAAGCATGCAGCCAGGCTGCCACCATGCTGACCACATGAGCCCAGCTCCCAGCCAGAGGGATTCTGACTGTGGGAGCTCAACCCCGGCTGGCTCAGCCTTGGCAGCACCTGGCTCAGCCTGATCTAAGCTGCCACCTCTCTGGAGGGGCACTGCAGCCTCCTGGGAGCTGGGGGATGACAAGGGCTTCTCTGTGAACAGTGTCTGACCTGGCTTTTGTTCACCTATATGAGCAGTGGCAAGTACCACGTACAGCTCAGTATCCCAACAGCTTGTGATCTGCAAAAATATTTGGTGAAATGCAGAGGATTTCTGCACTGCTGACTTTAAGATTGTTTCTTGTCGTTTGGATGCAGTGAGTATCTGTGCATAARGAACAGCTTGGTTTGTTTCTCAAGACACATTGAAAAAGATTATTCCAAAAACTATTCAACATTGCACAATGCTAGCAATGTTTTACAAAAATAACTCAGTTTTCATCAAACTTTRTATGAGAATTCTTTTCAGAGCATTATCAGAAATTAACTTGGGTTAATAAAACCCTTCAAGCCTGCTTCCCTTTTTTTTTAAATGAGGAAATATTAAAAATTGAARTAAGCTGTAGAACTGAATTGAGAAGTTGGCACAGAAACAACTTTGAGAGTTCTCTTTTTTTCACCAACATGTTGTTAGTTTGGTGCAAATGCCTTCTGATAGTTTCACCTGAAGAATTTTTACATGAAACAAAAAGGAATGATCTGATAGTTACAGAAGAGCATTGTAGGAAAAGAGTTTCACAGGGAATGTTTCTGTTGGAGCTTTTTTTTCAAAGAGTTCAAAGATGTATTACAAGTTTTGAACTTTAATCTCGCCTCTGACAAGGACAGTATTACTGGAATTGCAGACTATTGCAACACAGTTCGTCATCTAAACTCCCCTGAGAGTCCCTGAAGAGAAATTGGCGTTTTCCTTGTGCATGAAAAGGTTAATTTCTTTTATTGCTAAAATTGCCCAGAGAAGACTTTCTACAATACCTTCACTTTCTTCAGTTTGGGGTGGAAACCAGRTACAGGTTCTACTGACACTACATGGTTAATAAAATACTAGAAGCCGAGTTCCCTGTTCATATTCTACATGCCTCACTCACARATCCATCTGTTTCTCCACTTTTCTGCCACTGAGTCTCTCCTCATTTACAGCTCCCTTGCAGATTTTGACCATTTTAAAGCACAATGATATCATAAGACAGATTTTCCAAACCACGATCCGTGACCGTGAGAATGTTACTTTAGAGCTCCCACACGGAAATTAAAAGGTGCAAGGGTCTCTCTGAAAAATGGAGTTTTGCATAAACCACAGATTTTAGGACATCCTTCTCCCCTTCAGAAAGCTAGGTATGAGCCAAGTGAAGGATTATTACTTTTTATCTCTCCTACCTGAATAATCTGATCTTTACTYTCAAGGGCAGCAATTGCTACTCTGTGACAATCTGATCAAATTTCCAGATCCCCATATAAATAATTGTATTTCCTGCATCACATATTCCTACAATAATTTTAATAATTTCAAAAATACTGTTTCAGATGGTTYTTTRATTAACAGWTCTTTGATCCCAAAATATGATATGYATATTTCAARCTAATACTTTTYCTTTCCATCTCATTATGTTTGGTATTTTTATAAAASTCACACCTCAGAAAATTCCATGAGGTGTCTTTGAGCTTAGGGAGGAATTTTGGTAAATTTTTTTGTTCTTCATTTCAAAGAAAAAGTTAAGAAAGTGGGCTCTAAATGGTAATAAGGAGAACATAAAAAACAGTTTTTCTAATTTCATTATTGTTAACCTAATGTCCTGTACTTGTCTTATGACCTTTAAATGGTGAAGTTTGTCATAGGATTAAAAACTACTGCAAACAAGAATAGGAGATTGGGTGATGCTGCAGCTCAAGAGAGTTTCATTTCAGAGAAGAATTAGTGCAAATGTAAATGTTTTGTGGAGACATAGCTCATTTCACACTTTGGAGATTTGATAACCCAGCTTGTGTCATGCATGAGGATTATGCATTTTTTTAAATCTTGTGTGCAATGTGAAATCTTATCAGGGTTTGCCCATATGGCTGCAGAAGTTTCTTTTCATGCCTTATTGTTATTTCAATATAGCTAGGACAAGAGAAAAATCTCCATTACAATTTACCAAAGCTGTCTCTTTAAAGATGCCCACAGGTCTGTWCCCTGCCACTTTCTGCGGGAGTTTGAGTCGTCAGCCTGCTTGCTGTATAAATATAATGATAAAATTGCCAGTGAACCATGACAAAGAAGTTCATGTTTCTGCTTAGAGCTGCAAATTATCTGCACAATGGAAAGCTCAAGGCAGCCGTGGCTGGGGYTCCAGAACTGGCAATGTGCAGTTTGCAGATACACAGGTCTGCCCAGCAGAGAATCAGCTACAAGCTGCAAACTTCACACACCATCTTCCACACGTATTTTAAAGGTGAATTCCCTGGAGGAATCAGTTGTTATCATGGAAGACATGAATTTCACTAAGCATCTAGCCACATGCTGATTTCTATATCCTGAACAGCATCATTCGTAATGATTGCAGAAGTGAAACAAAAAAATCTCTCCCGTTTTAGCACACTAGTTCTATGTTTTTTCATTGACATTATTCACTTAAAATCAAATCCAGCTCCTTTTAAAATTAAATTAGTCTTTGCTTTAACCAGACTGATATTTGTACTCTCATTCAAATAATACAATAATTTCCTTAAACACATAGAATTCTCTATATTATGCATTGCTARTTAGCAGTAACCTTTTATATTTAATACCTTACCTTACAACTGTGCTTTTACTTGCCAGCTTCACTGTAAGAATGTATCTATACAATAACAGCTAAAGACCAAGTTTATCAGAACACTTCCAGGATTTTAACTGCTTTGGGAWTTTGCTGCTATAAATAACAGTTGCTGCTACAAGGCCAAAGAGGTCATTTTTATAATTAAACCTTTTGTGCAAAAAAGTGTCTTATGCCTGGGGTAAAATTGGTGTACATGCACAACAGCAACGTTTCTGAGGTTTTTCCGGTCCTGAGGTTTCATATAAGGAAGAAACAGATAACAAAGATAACTGGAGATGTGTTTTGTGTGTAAGAACAGTATCTTGATCTCTCACTTGAAAAGCATCAGATAATGTAAGTCTGATTCATTTGTCCCAGGAAACTAGTTTTAGTGTTCTTCCTTTAAGAAAAAAAAATAAGAAAAACATGCCCAACACAACCAACAAATA